AAAAAAAAAAAAAAAAAAAAAAAACACCTTTGGGTTACATGGATGGGTAAGTTTAATGACAAGTGGCCATACAAGAGACAAAAGAGAAGACACAGACAGAGAGGGTGATACAAAGATGGAGGCAGATACTGGAGTGATGTAGCCACAAAGTAAATGAGCCAAGGAATGCTGAAAGCCACCAAAGTTGGAAGAGGCAAGGAAAGATTCTCCCCTAGAGCACCCAGGGGCAGTATGGAACTGAAGACAAACTGACTTTAGACTGCTGGCCTCCGGAACTGTGAGATAATATCTCTCTCTTAATTTAAGCTACCCAGTTTGTGGTAATTTATAAACTAATACAGATGGTATAAATAGGAAAACATTTACTCCAAAGAAAATTACTCACTCTATTAGTGTGCTATTATTTTGAGAAATCTAAAACTCGAGACAGGCGCAGTGGCTCACACCTGTAACCCCAGCACTTTGGGAGGCCAAGGCAGGCAAATCACCTGAGGTCGGGAGTTCAAGACCAGCCTGACCAACACAGAGAAACCCCATCTCTACTAAAAATACAAAATTAGCCGGACATGGCAGCACATGCCTGTAATCCCAGCTACTCGGGAGGCTGAGGTAGGAGAATTGGTTGAATCTAAGAGGTGGGCGTTTCGCTGAGCCGAGTAGAAACTCCAGCCTGGGCAACAAGAGCAAATCTCCATCTCAGAGAAAAAAAAAGAAACTTAAAACTCATACCATTGAGGCTTTTGTAAAAATCAACTTTGATTTGAAGTCTTCTTTGGTTTTGAGTCAAGGTCTTGCTCTGTCACCTAGGCTGGAGTGCAGTGCAGATTATAGCTCACTGCAGCCTTGAACTCCAGACCTCAAGAGATCCTCAGTCTTTCTAATAGCTATGACTACAGGCGTGTGCCACTGAACCTGACTAATTTTTGCAGTTTTTGTAGAGTCCAGGTCTTGATGAATTGCTCAGGCTGATCTCCTACCTTGGTCTCCCAAGGCACTGGGATTAAAGACATGAGCCACTGTACCCATCCAATTTCAAAGTTTTTCTCTGACATAAGCCCTTAAGAAGTTGGCAAAACAATTATATCACTAATATTGCATGATGCTTTACAGGTGGCGGGGTTAGTACTCAAAGGATAGCAGCAGACACTTCTATAATAAGATGTTTAAGATAACCAATTTCACAATTCTAGACCTACAGAAATATCACGTGCATTAAAAATATATTAAGATGACAGTATTTTGAATTTGCTGAAGAATACTGGGATTCAGTCCCGTTTTCAGTTTAGAAATATTATGAGACCGGAGATTGCGCCATTGTATTCCAGCCTTGGCGACAGAGCAAGACTGTCTCAGAATGAATGAATGAATGAATGAATGAATAAATAAATAAAAGCCTTCATTCTTTTCACATTCGGGTTTTTCTTCTTTTTTTGCTTGGAGTGATAATGAAGTAAAATGTGAAACATATATTTAACACTGACACCTAAGATTTCGAGATTATACCAATTCTGTAGGTCAACATTATTACCAAGTCAGGACACCATGACAATATTTAAAAACCTTAAGGAAAAAAAAAAAAAAAAAAAGTCCAAATCCAAGAAGCCCCTTCTCTCTGTTGTGTTACTCTAGTGCCCTCTATTGACAAAGTCCAACATATTGTTCACTGCAAAGGTCAAGAGAGTCCAGTTCTTCACCAGCTCAAATATATACTTCAGAAGTTATTTAATCAAAGCAGGGCAAGTACTGGAGGGTGAACTTGGAGTTGACTAATAGACTGCTAAGTGGCAGAGGTGTTTCACTATTCTTCCTTTTTATTGGTAGGTAATGCTTCAGTGTATGCATTTTCTACATTTTGTTTATATATTCAGCTACTAATGGATATTTGAGCTGTTTCTAGATTTTGGGTATAGTGAATAAAACTGCCAAGCACATTTGTAAAAAATAACAAAACTATCTTTTATGTAGTCCATAAGTGCTAAGCCCTCTTCTTTATAATCTTCCCCACAGGCTTGCAGGGTATAATTTCCATTCTACAGACAGGGAAACTGAGACTCCAGAAAATTTACAAAGTGACTTGCCTAAGGCTACAACTGCTCCAAAATTCCACTATTTTTTTTTTTTTTTTTTTGCCACACCACCTGATATTGGCATTCACTGAACGTTGTTGGCAAACACTGAATCACATGTGTTAGGTACTAGGAATACAAAGAGTAAGACAATAACTTGCCCAATAGAGTTCAGTCTAAAAAAACGGTGAAATAATCATGTCTACACACTAAGAAACAATTCTACAGTTGAACTCTGATGGCCTGTATGCCTCACGCATGCTTTCTAGAGAAGCCACTTCAGCTGAGTCTCCAAGTATGAATAAAGAATTTCGGAGGTGGTGGGGGTGGGGCAAGAAGAGATTCTGTGTATAAGCAAAGGCATTGAACAAAGATCAAGAGAACATGATTCTGGGAAGGATCAACTAGAAGTGTTACAACTACAGTAGCATTTCCCATGAGATATTAACATGTATTACAGTAATAAAGACAGCAATAGTTTTTCTTTTCTTTCTTTCTTTTTTTTTCAAGACATAGTTTTACTCTTGCTGCCCAGGGTGTAGTGCAGCGGTACGACCTCAGCTCACTGCAAACTCTGCCTCCTGGGTTCAAGCAATTCTCCTGCCTCAGCCTCCTGAGTAGCTGGGATTACAGGTGCCTGGCACCACACTCGGCTAATGTTTTTTTTTTTTGCATTTTTAGTAGAGATGGGGTTTTACCTTGTTGGCCAGGCTGGTATCAAACTCCTGACCTTGGGTGATCCATGCGCCTTGGCCTCCCAAAGTGCTGGGATTACAGGCTTGAGCCACTGCACCCGGCCTCTTTTTCCTTTTCTGAGAGAATCTCGCTCTGTCGCCCAGGTTGGAGTGCAGTGGCTCAATTGGGCCCACTGCAACCTCCACCTCCGAGTTCAAGTGATTCTACTACCTCAGCCTCCTGAGTAGCTGGGATTACAGGCACCCACCACCACACCGGACTGATTTTTGTATTTTCAGTAGAGTCGGGGTTTCACCATGTTGGAAAAGCTGGTCCCTAACTCCTGACCTTAAGTTATCCACCCGCCTTCGCCTCCCAAAAGGCTGGGATTACAGGCATGAGCCAACACACCCAGCCAATTTTATCACTTTTAATACATTTTTAAAGAAAGACTACATATTTTTGTAGTTTTTTTTTTTTTTTTT